CCCCCTCCGGCACAGAGGATCCCAACGTCCTCTGTAAACCTCTCCTCAGCGGCCGCTGCTCTGAGCGCGCTCTGTAAACCTCTCCTCAGCGGCCGCTGCTCTGAGCGCGCTCTGTAAACCTCTCCTCAGCGTCCGCGGCTCTGAGCGCGCTCTGTAAACCTCTCCTCAGTGGCCGCTGCTCTGAGCGCGCTCCGTAAACCTCTCCTCAGTGGTGCGGGTTAGCGGGCCGACGATGGAGCCCGGTGCGGGGTAGCGGGCCGACGATGGAGCCCGGTGCGGGTTAGCGAGCCGACGATGGCCCGATGCGGGGTAGCATCCCAGGCTGAGCTGTGCATTAGTACCTAAGACCCAGCTGCATTTGGACTTTGCATTTCCAGCTGTGAGTTTCAGGTCTGTTGTTAAATAGGTTTTTTTTTTTTTTTTTACCAGATGCCTTTATCTGAAGTAATTTAATTTTTCATTTCTTGAGAAAGCTGGGTCAGACAGTCTGTGGATCTAGGGGGGGGGTTAAGGGCCTTGCCCCAGGGCCTAATGGTGAAATCACTCTGCTGACTCTGGGATTTGAGCCAATGACCTTCTGATCACAGACACAGTGTCCTAACCCACTGAGTCACACACTGCCCCCCTTTTTCATTGGCTTTGCTCCATGGATGGGAAACATTCCCCCCCCCTTGATGGGGGCTTTGGGTGTAGTGTCTCGCCCACTCAGTGAATCAAGGCAAAAGCCCTTTTTTGAACTGCCATCTCCCTCCCGGAGGAAGAGAACATCACCTGACCGAGTTTCCAGGCCGGAGACGGCGGGAGAGCCCGATTGTCTCAGGCCCCCGAGGGGTCCGATGGAGCGCCGGTCCAGAAAGGAACACAGGCGACAGGTCGGGTGTGGGTCAGAGTGGATGGTTGGGTCGACGGCTCTTGCTCATCCTGTATTTCCCTCACCCTCTGCAGCTGCAGAACATTCCGGTAAGCAGCCAGGTTTAATGGAGATGCTGGCAGGCAGACGTACACAGTGGTGTTTCAGATTGTTTCATCAAGGTAACATCTCAGACATTACAATATCCAGCCTTGCTGGACAGACGGAGGAAGGGAGATTCCGTTTGAATGCTGTAACCTTTCAGAAATTTGCTGAGGGGTCAGTGTTTTGCATAAGTATAGCTCTGTGACTTCCTCTACGCCATTTGACACAAATCTCCTCACTGAAGTTTTCCAAGGCTGTGCTGGTTTTAACCCTGGGACAGCAGGCTTTGTAACGTTCCTCCACTTTTAAAGTTTTACGGAACTGTAATGCACACCAACGTCTATGGAAGACTCTGTCGGGGTTTCCGTCAGGCCGGTACCACGCGGGCTCTGCGGGGTTTCCGTCAGGCCGGTACCACGCGGGCTCTGCGGGGGTTTCCGTCAGGCCGGTACCACGCGGGCTCTGCGGCGGGCAGCCGCTGCCCTGTTATATGGCCCTGAGTCTCGTTAGCTTCTCACGGTAACGAGGTGCCTCATGTGTTCCCCGTCAGACGGGTTCCTCTGCCTGAAGCACAGATCCTCCCCTTTGGGTACCGGCACCTACAGGGTCAAAGGGGGGGGGGGGGGGGGGGGGGGGGCTTCCATGCTGAGAACCTACAGTGCTGGGGCGGGGGGGGGGCTCTGCTGTAATCAGGCAGCACTTTGATGTGTCTTCTCTCCCCCCTCTTTCTCTCCCTCACTGCGCCTCCACCCCCCAGCTATCCGTGGGCCTGCGGTTTTCTGTCCAGCGTCTAGAGGAGGTGGGGCCTCACATCAGCTTCCATCTGCAGATCCGAAGGTGAGCAGATCCTTGGTGCCTCTGGGTAACTGGACTGGGGAGTCCGTCTGTATGCTGGGGTACAACGCTGCTCAGTGACGATGCCCAGTGTTACAGCACAGTATTTACTGGGGCAATTCATGTAAAATTACTCAGTCAGGGGACCCACAGAAGCCTCCAGGTAAAATGGCATCTTTCAACTATGTGAAGAAAACTTTCAGTGACAGATTAGGAGAGAAAGGCACTGCAAATCCCCCTAGAGTTAGGAATGTGGTACCACAAGTTGGTCATACAGACCTGCATTTCCCTCTTCTTTTCTGGGGGCATCAATGAGTAGTTTTAGGAGTCCCCCAGCAGATGGTGCAGTCATTAAGAACACAGTGACTAAATCAGAGGCGATAGTTTGCTGTGCCTTGGTACCGTACCTCCTGTCTTTGAGTTTGTGTTCCAGTGCTAGTGCACCTCTCCCTACTCCGGACGCACGGCCTGTTCCAGACGGGTCCCTGTCCACCGGCTGTTCGTAAACGAGACGCCTTCTTCGCCGGTAGTAATCATTCACAGTGGTTTTTGCAGACACTGTCCCTGCTCCAGAAAGTGTTCCTGTAAGCCTGCGGTTGGAGTTATTGTGATGAATGCTTTCTGTTGTGTCCGTTCACCCCTCCCCCCCATGCTCCAGAGACAGTCTTTATAACAGGAAGATGAAAAGTCATAAGTCATGGCTCTGACTGGGGGGGGGGGCATAGCATGCTATTGTGCGTCCCACAAAAAGTGAAGAGCCTCCTCTCAGGAGCATGTCAGCCTTCAGGGGGGCACAGTCTTACGGTGATGCCGGTGTGGGGTTAGGGTCTGTAACTTGGCTGAGAAGGGATACATCCTGTGCTGGTTTGATGGGTCTGCGTCATAATGCAAGGCTTCCGCAGCAGCCCAGGGAGGATTCCAGTTGGCATAAAGAGCTGGACAGCTGAAGGTCCTTCTGGGAGAGCTCCTATCTCCGCTTTGCTCAGTTTGGGCCAAAGAGGTTACTTTGCCTTCGGGATAAGATTCTGAGGGGGGGGGGCGTTTGTGTGTATTGTAATGGTCACATGAATCGGAGGGAAACTGGACACTGGAGGCTGACGGGTGTCCTGCGGAGTTTAATCGTCAGGATGAAAGGCGTCCGAGTCCTCAGGGTCACGCAGATGAGCAGAGCTGCTGGATCTCCTGGTTCTCTGTAGGCTCAGCTGCAGGGGTGGGGGAGTGAGGGGGCCGTGGACAGACACACAGCAGGCTCTCCTCAGCTTGTCCTGACAGGGGGACTGTGGGCTACCTCTCCAGAAGACACTATGGTGAGGATCATCTGCTCTATGAAGTCAGGACCTTAAAACCCCCTGGATCGTGTTGGACGTCCACTGGTGGCACTGGGCTCTTCATCTTTGTCACGTTTGTGATCCACTCGACTCCCATGGTGTCTTGGCGCCGGAAAACATCTGAATCGTTTCTGTAGATGTTTGTCGCGTTTTCAGCCAGACGACTGAAAATCATTCACAGGCCGAGATTAAAGGCACAGACTGAGGCTGCCGATCCTGTTCTCCTGATCCGGTCTCTCTTCTCCTCCAGCAGAGGCCTTTGCCATATTTTACCCAATTGGCGTTGGGCGCCGAAGCAACCAAAAATGGACGAGTCACCAGCGGGTCTGGCTGTGATTCGGTGTCTCTGCCTGTCACACAACGGCTCCTTTCTATTGACTCGGCATTTGTTTTTTTTTTGGTTCTTTCCCCGAGGAGATGTAAATGGGAGAAGTTTCTGGTCTGTTGGGAATTTTGTGGTTTCATAAATACAAAGACTATTGAAGACATTCGACTTGAGAGACTGTGGCAGACGGGGGCAAGTTGCGGACAAACGACAGCCAGCGGAGACGCCCCGGAGTCTCCCGTCCTGAGTACTAATAACGTCTTAATGAAAGCCGTCGGTGTATAAAAAAGTGGGCTTTTGTCTGCCTTAACACCTGCTTAAGTCATGGTGTCAGTCACGCCTTGTCTTCTGTTGTTTAACTTAACACCATCCCTCTCTGTCCACAGCTCCAACAAAGACAACTCGGAGAGCAACCGAGTGAGCCTGACGCTGAACATCTCTGCGGTGGCCCGTGTAGACATCCGTGGGTGGGTACCAAGGCTCTCCCCCCTCCCTTTAACCTGCCGGATCCTCAAAATGCGGCTATTTGCATCCCCAGTGTCAGACGGAGTGTCTAAATATAGACCAGGACTGGTTAGACAGCGGCCAAATTTAGCTTTAGTAATGACATTAAGTATAGAAACAGCGTTAAGTTTAGTAACGGACGGAAGCCTGCAGCATGCTCTCCCCTTTGAAAGCTACGTACAGATTTGCATCGTGTAGCTGCAGAGACTTTATCAACAACCCCCCCCCCCCCGCCCCCCCGCCCCTCCATGCCTGGAGGAAACATGTTTAAGTTGGAGGGAAATGAATCAGCGCGACTCAGCCAAACAACGTGTTGTGATTAGCTCTGCCAGAGAGCCGCGGCGCGCTGCTAAGAATAGCGGGCGGCTAACTGGCCGCACATGGGCCGGAGCTGGTCGGGGCCGCTTCCAGTCTGCCGGATCACATGGGGGAGAAGGAGATGGGAAACAAACTGACTCTTAAAAGGCCCCAGCATGTGTTTGTGCATCCGGGGGGTTGTGTTGGTCTTGGCTGTGGAATCCTAACCCTATGTTTGTCCCCTCCCAAGGGTATCCCACCCAGCTCAAGTGGTCCTGCCCTTTCCCCGGTGGGAGCCCAAGGACAAGCCCGTGAAGGAGGAGGACGTGGGCCCCCAGGTCCTGCACATCTATGAGGTGCCGCCAATGCGCCGGTCAGGCCCTGCCGGGGCCAGCCAGTCCCGCATGCCCTCCATAGTCCACGCTTCCATAAACCCCCTGACTCCAGTGTATTCTTGTGTTTCGTGTGAACCACTCGCAGTGGAAAGGTACCTGACTCTGGCCTCTGGGGACAGAAAATTAACACATAAACCTTTCAAACATTTATAGAGCTGTGTAATATAAAACTCCGCTTATAAGTGTTTACAGAACATAACAGCCTGAAAGGTGAAGCGTGGTAAAGCACCTTAATGCCCTTTGTGTCACAGGGCATTAGCTCTTCACGCCGTTCTATAGAGGAGAGCTGGATTCTTAGCGATCCTCGTGGATGCTGATCGTCTTTGTGACTCTGCTGCTCCCTCCTGTCAGATGCCGTCTGGATGCTCGTCGTCCGCTCTGCCTGACAGCGCTGTAAGGCTGCTGCTTGTCCTGTAGGAGGCAGTGGTTTTACAGCATGCCCTCAGCCTGCAACGCGATCCTTTCCCGTCAATGCAGTGTTGGCCAAAACCCTTTTTCAATCGCGTTTGATAGAATGCTACAAAACAAACCCCCCCCCCA